TATATATATATATATATTGGTGGCACATATAAAATAAAATAAACTGTTTTTTTTTTTCATTTTATTGTCTTTTTGTTTACATTTTAAATAATTATATAATAAATTAATTATTTTATTATTTGATTTAGATTAAAGCTTTCATTATATCAGAGAAAGCAATCAGCCTATCAAGAAGACACATTTAATTGCATATATATTTCTCACTTCATTCGCAAATTGATTTTGACTATATTTTCTTTGATGTTTGCTTAAAACACGAAAAAAAAAAATATTGGTGGCACATATTTAGATATTTTCACAGAAAACCAACACAATAAATAATACAGAAAACGCTTTTATTTGTGTTGTTTCTCAGTTTTTAATGTCTCTTTGTTTATATTTAAAACAATTGTGTATTTAATTATATTATGATCAAGAAAAAAAATATATTGCTGTCACATATTTAGATATTTTCACTGTAATGCGAGACATGAAATACGAATTAAGAAAATGATGTTTCTGTATTGTTTTATTTTGTCTCCCATGATTGCTCAAACTCCTCATGACACAAAGGGGAGAATTCACTAACCAGTTCACAACTATTGTCGCATTGCATCCCAAAATCCTGCATCTTATTTGCTAACCACCCACAATCCATTTAACCAGGTGCTAAATGCGCTGAAATAGCACTGCGCTGTGTTTAAATTAAGTAATTGTCTTCCATTTCAGCACAAACACACGTCCTTTATATGTAAATTAGGCTTATTATAGATATCAAAACTCAGCGCCTATTTTCCTGGTGCAATTAACATCACAATATTACTGCCCGCAGAAAGCAGGCTGTGAATTAAACTTCATTTTAAAGAGATGATCATGGCGGCAGTTATAACGGGGGATATTTCCAGAAGCGGCCTGTAGACGAAAACATTTTGAAGAGCCAATTCAGATGTCTGGATCACCGTGATGCAGTAGTAAAGTGTATCTAGTACTCACCTAGCTCTCAGAACTGACTCACCAGGTCACAGTAGTGTGTTGTACACAGATTTTGTGGGCAGCATTAATCTATTTGCATAATTCCTAGTGAATCACTAGTTAGTAAACTGCACTCAGGGGAACTAATCCATTGTCTTCCGGGGAGCAGTAGTGTGTGTGTGTGTGTGTGTGTGTGTGTGTGTGTGTCTGTGTCTGTGTGTGTGTGTGTGTGTGTGTGTGTGGTGGTGGACAACGGCACTAGTGGTTCTCAGTTGTGTTCAGAGCTGATGGAGAGACTGAAGCCACTGTTGATCGATACATTGACATTACACAGTCTCAGTGCACATACACATGTACCTGAGCTGTCAGTCCAACCCTGGGATCGTCACAGTTCAATATCAAATGTCCATCGAAATAGAATCATATCCCAGTGGTTTCAATTGGCTATGCATATGTGCTAACTTAATAATAGAGCAGGACAGGTTTGGAATGTTCAGAGGTGAAATAAAACTGTTCTTGATAGTTGAAGTTGCCAGAAATGTTTCATTCTAAGATGTAACTGAATCTGTTTATGCCCAAATAATTGCAATAATTGTTTGAACTATTATGCTAAAGTTTGGGGTCAATAAGATTTTTTGAAAGATCTTTTGAAAGGTTTCTTATGCTCGAGTAGTCTGCATTTTTTTTTTACATTAAGTAAGTAAATAAATAAATACATTGGTGAAATAATATATTAAAAAAAAGGTTTAAAATACATTAATGTGATGGCAAAGCAACATTTTCAACAGTCTTCAGTGTCACATGATCCTTCAGAAATCAGTCTAATATGCTGATTTAGTGCTAAAAAGCTTATATTTATCAATGTTAAAACAGTTGTGCTGCTTAATGTTTTTGTGAAAACTGTGTTACATTTTTTTCTGGATTCTTTAATGAACAGACAATTAAAAATAATTTAGTTTGGGGAAAAAAATTAACATTAGAAGTTTTTTTTTTTTTTTTTTTTTTTACTGTCACTTTTGATAAATTTAATGCATCCTCGCTGAATAACAGTATACATTTCAATCAATCAATCAATCAATCAACCAATAAATAAATAAATACATTTTATTATTATCAATGTTGAAAACAGTTGTGCTGCTTAATATTTTTGTGGAAACCATGATATATTTTTTTCTTAATTCTTAAATGAAAAAAAAAAAAAAAAAAAAAATATTTGGGCAAAACAAGACAAATGTACACATCTTCATTCTGTTCAAAGGTCTTAATGCATCGTGCAGCCATTTTCTATTCTCAATATTTATTTTTTTTTAATTTTTAAAAAAAAAAAAAAAAAAAAAAAAAAAAATGAATTTATTTGGAAAACATTTTTTTTGTAACATTAGAAAATATTTAACTATCATTTTTGATCAGTTTAATGCATCTTTGCTAAATAAAAGTAGATGTTTCTTTCAAATAAATAAATAAATAAAACTTAATTATCCCAAACTTTTAAATGGTAATGTATATAATTTTAACACGTGTTGTTTCTTTTTTTATGCACCTTTTATGCTTAAAACAGCCTAAGCTGGTCTGCTAGACTTGAGATGGTTTACAATAGTGTAGCTGGTTTAGAGGTGCAGCCAGCTGGGCTCACATTGCCCAAAGTACCCAAAACCCATCTAAAACCAGCAAATAGACCATTAGAGACCAGCTAAGGTCATAAAACCAGCTTAGTCTTAATTTGAAGTGATTTTTCAGCTTCCTGTTTCATTAAAAAAACTGTGCTCATCAAACCAGCCATATACTCTCTCTCTCTCTCTCTCTCTCTCTGTTTCAGACACAAAACACAAAAATACAGAAATCCCTAAATATCACACTTAAATCTAAACTCCCTCATACAGAACAGAATCTGCCTGAGAACAAAGTCAGACCAGCTGAGCACAAAGAGGCTACTGATCTCACATCTGCTCGTAAACGCACCTCCGTCTTCTGCATGTGCTCTTTCTCTCTCATTATCTTTCTGGCCTCAGATTCCATGGCTTTACCCAGAATTCACCAGAAGTAAAACTGTCCTCATCCAACTTTTCCCCCTCTTTGTTTCAACGTCAAGTTCAAAGCCTAATGGCTTAATATTGAGCTCTCATGGTAAAGAGACTCACTTTTCCCGTTCCTTTCATTTATCCTCTCACATTTAAATCACATCCCGTGGTGCCCTAGAGGTAGCAGATACACTTTATCCATACTGCCGCTGATAAACAGCTCAGTGTATTAAAAAGAGAGGGAGAGCGAGGCTCAGACATAATCAAAGTCAAGGTCCATTTAAGACGGCTGTTTGAGGCAATGGACAGGAGAGGTGAGTGGAGGGGGCTGTCTGTTCTCTGCACTGGGGCGATAGTGGTATAACAGCCTGAGGAGATGAGAATAGAAGGTTTCAGTAGCAGGGGTTAAAGGCAGAGCCGGTGCCTCCGAGTCAGCACAGGACTTGAATCACAAACACTTTGATACTGAAAGAAGGACCAAGTTTTGTTTATTATTTTAGGCATTTTTGACACTGTTATTGATGGGTGTGGTATTAGTACTTGTGACATCAATGATCCATTAAACTTCACAACATTTTACATGGAGTAATGATATGCACAAGTGCCAAAATGGAGTCTAATTTTTTTGTTTAGTTTAATAATAGTTAATTTATTTATTTTATTATTATTATTTTATAGCGGCATTTCAGGGGAAGGGAGGGTGTTACCAATACCAACATAATTTCTAATGAAAAGCAATTGTTTGACTTCAGAAGACTTTGAATATGGCATATCAGTTGTATGGACCACTTTTATTATGTTTTTTTTTTTTTTTGCAGCTTTTGCATTGTTTTTGAAGCTTAATGGCATCATAAAAGTGTTAATTTTAAAAATAAATTAATACTTTTATTTGGCAAGGATGCATTGAATTGAATAAAAGTAACATTGAAGACTTTTTCATTGTTAAAAAAATAATTCTAAATAAATATAATTTTAAGTAAATGTTGCTATATATATATATAGCACAATGGTTTTCAACAATGATAATGATAAGACATGTCGCTGAGCAATGTTAGAATCATCACACTATTAGAATCATTTCTTCAGGATCATGTGACACTGAAGACTAAAGTAAAGATGCTGAAAATTCAGCTTTGTCATCACAGGAATAAAATTAATTTTAAAATATATTAAAATATATTTCTAAAATATCATCTAAATATCATTTAAATATGTAAATATATAAAATATTAAAATATTTTTTTAATATTAAAATATATTCTTTTTAATATTTAAAATATATATATATATATTTTTTTATAACATTTCATAATATTAGTTTTACTGTATTTTTGAACAAAATGAATGCATCCTTTGTGAGCATAAGAGAAAACAACAACAACAAAAATCTTACTGACCCCAAACTTTGGTAGTGTGTATTTATATGTATATCATTTTAGGTAAATATGTCTAGATTTGGTGCAAATGTAAATTCAGTTCCTCCAGTAACAGGACGACACTTTCATCTTCAAACCTCCAGTCTATATATAGAAGTGAATGTGTTTTTCTGTTACTGGACCAACTGCATTTCCATTTGCACCACATCCAGACATATTTACCTAATGTGGACTCTCAGCTGGACCAGCGTGCACTTCGGCACATTCTCCAGCAAAAACCCAGCCCATGCTGTGCAAATTTCTCGCTTTGTAATAATTCTCAGTAAATTGTTCATCTGTGAGTGTTGTGCTTTAAAAACTGCCCAAGGACTTTCACATTGATGCCTTGGATGCTCTCTGTTAAGATGACAGTAATGTTTTTTTTTTAAATATATAGCACTATACATCTGAATGAAAAATACTAGAAGTGTTGAATTGTTTAAATTTGCCTGTAAATCTGCTAATTTGCATTCTAGCAGAGAGTCAATAATAGAAACAGCCAAGCACTTAAATAGGGAAAGATGAACTGCAATGACAGAAAACACAACAGATGTCTAAACAACCTCTTTAATACCAACTTTGTCCTCTGCTATAATGGATTATTGCATCTGTGCCTTTTAATGTTATTCCGCAGTTCTTCAGTCTGGGAAGGGAATGTTTTGACAAGAAGCGATTTAATTACAACTATGACTCTTAAGCTATTAGCAGGGTGTAATTAAGAGCATTGCAACATTATATCTCTCTTTTGCTGTCTAATTGCCCTTTTGGACCTTAATTCGCAAGCAGACGGAGTGTGTGTCGAATCTAGCGTGTTGAGAAAGAAACAAAGGCTGGAGTTTGGAGATGTGCATTAATCATTAGGAATATCAGTAGCAGTTGCACATAGGCTGAATCCTTCAATGAGCTCCAGGGCTTTTCTTTTTCCAATATTGCAGCGGTGGGTACAAACTTAGACTCAGAGTATTGATTCGCAAGACTGCTTCGGCTCTGGCCGCATTGCTCATTGTAAATTATGCTTAGGCTGTCTATTCCTGAGCTATTGTCTTATGACCGGTCGAGCCCTGCGTGGTAGAACCAGATAAAACAAAGATTATTTACCTGAGGTCGGATAATTTCCTCTTTATGAGGGAAATGGCCTTTGGTGCGTATCTCTGGGAGAATACAAGGTGGGCTTTCCTTTATTGGCTTTGCGGCAGCCCGTTATGTCTAGACCTTTGGGCTTTGTAGTGGATCTCTGACTAAGATATTGATTGAGGTTTTTAGGAATTCAACGTGTGTAGAACCGTTTGCATTCGCGCGCTTGCGTCTAATAATTTCTTGGCTGGGTTTCATTCTGTATACATCAAATCTGATTTACTGGAAGTCATCAGCCTCGTTTAAAATGAATGTAACCCTCGTAAATGCTGGAGACAGTAACATATAAATCATTGAGCCTTATGTAATGAGTGTCATTTTGTCCTGTGCCACCCAGGTCGCTGACATTCCGGAAGAACAGCTGCTGGTGGCCGTGTTTCCTGGCATTCCGACTGCGGCCGAACTCTTCCTGCTTCCTTCCAGGAACCAATCGGATGGCAGGAAACGGACCGAGGAGGATCTGGAGCAGGTGAGATCTGATGCAGATTTGATGGTTTCTCATTAATGGTCAAGGTTGAAATGCGCTTGAGAATGATGAACCTTTATCAGAATAAAAGAGCAGCTTCTACCGGGGGCTACAATGAAAGTAATTGTCAGCGCAAAAAGAGACGACGTGTCAAAAATATTCTGAAGGGGATTGTTTGACATTTCTACCTATTACCTATTTTCTTTTTTTTCTTTAACCTTAAAGGCATTATTATCTCTAGCAGAAAGACGCGTGTCTAATTAGGCTTACTTGACAAGGACGTGTCACAACAAGAGTCTTTTACAGTAGGGGCTTTTGAATTTACATTTTTGAGGGTGAAATGTTGAATAGTAGTGCTTGTGGAGACATTATAACTGTTTAGGGTTTTAAATAAACCCTTAAACTCTTTGATCCACAACCCAAATTATCACAACCCCACACTACTGACACTCCCATTTCACAAAATTAAGCTCTACTCTTTAATATCTCACAGGCGTAATCACAACTGGCAAATTACACTCTTAAGAATAACAGCACATTTTACTATTTGGCCAATTTTATTGTCATTGAAGCTGCAGAAAGAGCTGTAACAAATCATTTGGGCATTCACTGGAACCCGTCCTGTTTGATACGAGGGATGGGGTATGTGTGTCGCACTATGGGTTGTCAAAGTCTGACATTATAAATTAAAATGTGCATAATTTCCACTCTTATATCAAAGTAGAATCTGTATTTGATACAAACAAGAGTGCAGAATATGGTTTATGGATGATTCATATGGGCAATCATAAACACTCAGATAAAAAGGTACAAAAGCTGTCACTGGGGCCGTACCTTTTTTTCAAAAGGTACACTTATATACCTTTTAGGTACTACTATGTACACTGCAGGTACTAATATGTACCTTTAAGGTACCATTAT